TCCCCCATTGAAGTTGCCTGAACATGCTTGGCTTCATCTTCTGCCATTGCAGATGCCGTGGGAATTGATTTTCTTTTATTAGTGCTTTGTTACCAGTCTGTGCTTCACCTTTGCTTCTGCACTTTCATGGATACCTCAGAGTTGCCTGATGAGAATGCAGCTCAGCGTCCCATTCTGCCACTTTTACTTCTTGTTTTCTGCCTCCCCCCCCCCTTTTTTTTTGTTTTGTTTTGTTTTTGGGGGCATTTCAGGCAATGCCTTTTAGGGCCTGCACTACTGGTGCTGCTTACTATTGGGTGTTGGTTGTATCTGCTGGGCTTTCCTGCTGTTATACTTTGACTCTGTTCAATTCCTGGATAGCTTTGACGTTGCCATGTGGGGAAGATACTGTGCTCAGCACCTTATTGCTGCTATTTGTCTGAAAGCGTAGCATAGGTTTCATGTCTTCTGTGTAATCTGTCATCATCCACAGCTCCTGTCAACCTTGTCACGTGCATACTTTGTGTTCAGTGTCTTGTAGTGAGCCTTGCCCACGTGACTCATTGTGAACCGAAGGACTGTGGTAGTATTTGATCCACTGATACATTTCTGGAACCCAGGAACGCTTGTGCAAAAAGGGGACTGCTCAGCAGCTTGATGTCTGAGTTCAGAATGTAACGTAGTCCATGGGATGCAGGGACAGAAACCGAAAGTCTCATTCCCTCTGTATGGTCAGCAATAAGCACTGGAATGAGTTGACTTATGTGACTGATGTGAAGGCTTCTTCTGGCATCACTGTCAGCAAATGGTGCTGTTTCTTCAGATATACCACCTCCTTCGAGACGGAGTGCTTAGATTTGTTGAGGCTGTGGTACAGAGCAAGTGAAATTGAAGTGTTCTGGGCTGTTTTGTAGCATGTAAGCAAGTTCTCAGAAGACTGACCGGATTCATTGTAGTCCTTTTGCTAGTGCCGGCTGATCTCCATACTGATAGAAACTCCCATTTTGTTCTGAAAGGTGGTGGGAAGCCAGAAATGAGAAGGCTACTGACTGTAGGCTAGAAAGCATGCAAGAGAAACTAACACGTGCCACTTAAATCCATATGTGAGTTTCTTTGCTGATAGTTAGTAGGAATATGTTGTCCTTGTGCTGTGAGCACTTCTATCAGAAATGTCTACCTTGCCTTGTGTGCTTTGACAGCTGTTATCACTGCCTGGCGCTCTTGCAGTAACACTGGTTTGAAATACCTACTTTGGGACTTGGTTGAAAGGGCACTGATTTCTTAATGACTTGTGGGTTTTGATTGCTCACCGTGAATCTGTAGTGGTTTAAGGGCCTTCTTGGTGTCAGGTGGGTTTCCACCCCAGTCTGGCAGTCTCCTTGTGTCATGCAGATTAGCTGTCAAAGGCAAACTTAGCAGAAGTGTTTGTAGGGTCCAAAACTGTGGAAGCAATGCACCACATGCAAGGAAAAGCTGACATGGTGATCTTTGCAGTCACTCTTAAAGCAGAGGGTACAGTTCATGTGACTAAATCTAGGTGAGCTGGGCTGCTGCTACAAAAAATGGACCAGTTCCATCTGCTGGCTTTCCTCACCCACTTTCTTGCTACAGATCTAATGGAGCCATGGTGAGTTGGCTGGTTTCTTCACTCTACAAAGACTCATTTTGACATTCAGTGGCAGTACAGTTCGTAGTGGGAATTGTTATATGCCTTTGCATGCAGACACTATTTTGGTTTAACATTTAGTACCTACTTGGATGTTGTGCTTCAGAGGTACCTTCCATTTTTTGTAATCTCAGATGGCAGGAGCATCTATTTCACTTTCCTTTATTAGTGAGATGCACTAATAATGCCATTAACAGCATCATGTGAAATCACCCTGTTCTAACACTTACTGCTTGCTGATCCTGATGAGCTCTTAGGTCAGTCTTTGTCTGTTCTGTTCTGTCCCAGCTTCTCTTTGTCTGTGATTACGCACCGTAGTCTCTAAGGTTTATGAATCAGGTAGGGAAACCTTTGCAGGACTGTTCTGCCTCCTTCCCCTTCACACTACCAGCTTTGTTTTTTTAGTAAGAAGTCTTCATGTGTGCCTTCAATGATAAAAGATTGCAGGGCTAGCAATTGCACTGGAAAGCCAGCCAGTTCTATGTGTTTTTATCACCTCTATCTTAAGCTGTTCTCTTGGCTCTTGTGTGGATGTATTTGCTATGATTGTCACGTACCCAGAGCTGTCTGCCCTCACCTTGTCAGCGTTTGGTGTGGCCATAGGTAGTTCTCTATGGCAGGCTGTAAGAGAGCAGTACATGTAAAGGACTGGAATGGATTGTAACGCGTGCCATGTGCACACACAGTCCTATTTTTCTGTACGGTCCTTTGAGACTGTTTCAGTCTTGTATCTGAAGTCTTCTGCCTCCTGCCACACTCCTAAGTGTGATTCCTTAGCTGAGCAGATAACTGAGCATTTTTCTCTGTGTTCTTTTAATCTGGCTGGAGAAGACTTTGAAGTTTGTGCTCTGGAAAAGGCTTGGGAAAAAAAGAGGGGAAAGTGGCAAACCATGTCTGAGTGGTGCTTCACTGGCATTATGATTCTGGCTTGTAGGTGCTCTGTTCTTGTATCATAACTCTTCCATTGCACATTCTTTGTGGTTGCCAATCTTTGCAAGTTAGTTTCATATGGAAAGAACAGGATGCTTTCTTATTTAAATTTTTGGGTGTAAAGAATGGGATAATCTCACAGCTATTTAGTTGTTCTGTTTTGATATGGAACTGTTGGTGTGTTGTGTTGCGAGAAGTTAATTAAGAATACAGCATTTTTATGGCTTTCTGCTTCCTGCTGGTGGGTCTGCATCGAATCCACTTTGCCAAGGAGCTCTGTTAGCCTGCACCAGGGCTCTTGGGTTGGATGAGAGCAAGTCATCTTAGCAGCTGGAAGTACCCACTTGCTTGATGAGGGGGAATTTTGAAAGAACGAGCTCTTCAGAGAGGCAGGTTAATATGTCTTGTGCAGAAGGATGAGCAAGTCTTTCTCAATACACAGATGGCACTGCCCTTTTGCAGTGTTATATCTGAAATCATGTAAATAAGTCTTTCTGAGTAAATACCAGTGATGGTTTGAAAGACGAGCTGTTCTTGTATTCAGATGGCTGCTGACCACTTTCCAGGTGGTGTTGTGAATGGCTGGGTATGGAGTGGTCTGTTCTCAGGGGACATGAAGTGGGGTTTGGTTCTGGGACTATCTCTGTGTCGGAGGCTGCATCTGTTGGAGTACAAGTTCTTGTCCATCTGCTACCAGGTTTTAAATGCTGAAGAACTTGGACAGAACTACATTCTTTTGCATTCTCTCATTTTGAAACTTCAAAAAATATTGATTGTATTGAAAAATATTGCATCATTGAAGATGAATCCTTAGAATGTACCAGAAAGCAGAACTTTTAGCAGAACATTTTCTTCAACAGGTGGGCTAGCTGATTTTACCAGTTTGATACAGCTCTTTAGTGGAAACTCTCATTCCATCTCTGGTGCTTTGCCTTGATGAAGAATACTTAAGTGGAGCTATGGAGTCTCCTCTTGAAATCTGTGTTGGTATACCTGAATATTTGCTCACCTTTTATATATTTACAGAATTCTAAAAAGTTATGGTCTTATCTGTGATGATAGTTGAGAGATTGTTTTCAGAAAAGAAGAAGAAAATAAATCACCTTTAAAACCCCTTAGTACTGGAGTTCTGCAGTTTGGATTCAGTGTTGTATGAAACATTTTGAACATGTTTCTTATGCTGCTCAGCTTTTCTGACTTGCATGCTGGTTTTACAGTAGTCTTTCTCCATTAGTATTTGGAACAAGTCATCCTCCAGCCTCTGTAAAATTCACTGTAATTGACACTTCCTTCTTAGCAATTGCTGAAATAATGAGTGGTATTGTAGGTCCTTGTCTAGATCTGAAGTTTTTGAAGATGCAGTGGAAGACCTCTTACTGAGCATCCATGAAATGACCTTTCTTCAAAAGTGATGCTGAACTATTTCCATAGTTAAGAACTTAAAAAAACAAAGCCAGAAAAACCCTTCACTGTGTATTCCCAAATTCCAAATGCTAAGCTTTACAGCCTAGTTGGTGGGCGTAGCTGCGTCATGCAGTAAACTTTTTAATCACCTTTGTTTTAGCTGCCTTGGATTAAATACCAAAGTGGCACCAAGTGAACGCTATCTCTGCAGACGTTGGAACTTCTTTTCTTGATGAATTTGTTAGACACTGTAACATTCCCTTATCTCTGTATCCTAAATAGTAATCTTTTTATACTTCATTACTTGCAGTATACTTTGCAAGGAGTCTTGTGATATGAATTTCATTTGTGTTTTTTTCTAAATCCTACTGTGTTTTCACAGCTTTGTGGCCAGGAAAGTTATTTTGATTGTTTTCTGGCTATGCTTATTGTGGGAAAAATACTGGCTATTCCATGAAGCTCAGTTTAATTGTGTAGGTCTGTTCTGGGAAGGACTGGGTGTAGAAAATAGGAAGAAACAACCAAACAACAACAAAACTGTTTTGTTTTTAGAAACATTTTCTGAAAAGCACATATTGATACTAGTTGTCTCTTCCTGAAAGGGATACTTAGTGAAGGCTTAAAAATTAAGGTGGTGCTTTCTCATCAGTGTTTTAATTCTTGTTAATAACAGTTGTCTAATTCTGTTGGCAGACTATGGAATGTTAATAGGTTTTTCCCTCCTTTCCCTTCAAATTTCCCAAGTTGGGAGATCATGTTCTTTCAAAATAAGGCATTGCAGGAAAGACAAGTAGAATGGCCGACTCCAATTTAGGCTTGATGAGGTGTAGGAATGACTTTTATGATGACTAATCGGGGTAGTTTTCAATAATAAATGATAGAGGAATTCCACTGGAACATAGCGAGTGAATTTTTGATAGTTAAATGAACAATAAAAAAGAATTGATAAACAAGGCTTTTACTCAAGAGGAAACCTTCTGCTGCTGCTTGCATTGACCTTATAAAATTTCTTGTTTTTCAGATTTTGGATCGCTATTTGATCTGGAACATGACTTGCCAGATGAACTGATCAGCTCCACAGAACTGGGACTCACCAATGGTGGTGACATTAATCAGCTGCAGACCAGCCTTGGCCTGGCACAAGATGCTGCCTCTAAACACAAGCAGCTGTCAGAACTTTTACGGGCTGGTAGCTCCCCAAATCTCAATATGGGGGTCGGTGGCCCTGGGCAGGGCATGGCCGGCCAAACCCCACAAAATAGCCCTGGAATGGGAATGTTGAACAGCATGGTGAAGAGCCCCATGGCGCAGGCTGGGTTGACTTCTCCCAGTATGGCGATGGGTACAAGCGGACCAAATCAGGGTCCTTCAGCCCAATCTACAGCGGGAATGATGCCAACAGTAAACAGTCCAGTTAACCAGCCTGGCATGGGAATGAACACAGGGATGAATGCTGGCATGAATCCTGGGATGTTGGCAGCAGGCAATGGACAGGGGGTGATGCAGGGGCAAGTCATGAACGGTTCGATTGGAGCAGGCAGAGGGCGACCAAATATGCCATACCCAAACCCAGGAATGGGAACTGCTGGTAACTTATTGGCTGAGACACTGCAGCAAGGCTCCCCGCAGATGGGGGGACAGGCTGGACTGAGGGGGCCACAGCCTGGAGCCATGAACAAGGTAAGGCAAGCTAAGCTTGACTTTAGTACCCTTTTTTCACATCATTTTATTTCATCTGCAGTAGAGATTCTGTGGAATAGGATTTTTTGTCTTTTAAGAGTCCTGAATCTTGTGCTAAATAATTAATATACTGCCGAAGTGGTATTTATGGCAATCAGGGGAAACAAGAAGTTACTCAGCAAGTATGGTTTTTCCTAGGTTAACTGATGGTGTTTTGTTGTTTTAATTCTGTGGCAGCATAGATCGTCAGTGTTAATGCAAACTTAACTTCATAGTATTTAATCTATTTTGTGCTTTTGTCCACAATTGTGTCTTCTCATCTAGTTTGGTGAGTGTGATGGGAACAAAATGGGGTCTTCTAGAAGTTGTGATGCTTTTCTGTGTGACACTTAATGAGAGTATTTGCTGCCTGTGATCAGATGAGTATTGGTTTGAGCTGCAGCAGGTGAGAAGAAGCAAATACGAGTTGGAATGGGCTGATGTGCTGGATGGTTTAGGACATATGCTGGATTTAAAGAAAAATACATGCTTCAGTTACTGGAGAAAGAATGCTTGTGTGAATACCTCCAAACAAGAGTTGGGTTCCTAACAGCTGTCCAGTTGCACACAGCTCTAGTTTTTAGTTTGGAAAGGTTTTGCCTACCTTTTTCTAAATTGGAAAGCTGAAAAAATATATTGAGGGGGAAAGGGGCAATGGATGTGCTTTTGTAATGTAAGAGATTTGAATGAAGCAGTTGTGTAATTGCTCTGGAAAAGTGAGAGAAGACCAAATGATTTAAGTTACAAGTTTAAAATTTGTCTTAGCTTGCACAAATAGCTTCACTAGCATAGGGAAACAGATGAATATTGCATAAGTTTTTGAGTTTTGATTAAAAAGCCTCAAAAATATTGAGGCCTTTTAATCAAAACTCAAAAACATGTAAACATTTCATTTCATTTGATGGGGCTATTTTGTGTTTATTGGTTAATGAGTGGAAACTGTTTTTAGAAGGACTGATTTCTGCTGTGTTGATGATTTTGCTATGTTTTAATGTACTAAATAAAATGTTAATGTCTTATGAGCATTATTAAAATCTTTCTTGATCTTAGCTGCTTGCTTGAGCTCAGTGTGCTGCTAACTGTGGTTCTGATAGCTGTGACTGGTAATGTTAATTTTGTGGTCTGTTCATTTCATGTAGCTTTGCTTGATAAATGCTTTGCTGCAAAGTCCCATTGCTACAGTAGATGTAATTCGTAGTGGAAAGAAATACTTTGAAGTGTTTTTGTATTGGAATTAGTTGATTGTTGACTTTATTATATTTTGATTAAAACAAAAAACCTGTATTCAGAGGTCCAAAATTAATGCACCGAGTTTCAGGCTGAAATGTAACATCTTAATCCTTATTTATTGTACCTAAAGTGGAGCTTTAAACTGTTAAAACAACAACGAAACACCGTGTTCTTTATCTAGGAGATATCAAGGAAGGCCACAAAATTGAGTTTTTGGCTGAAATAGTTCAAAATGAAGCCGTCTTCATTGCTTCTTAAAATCCTGCCTTGTGCTTTACATCTAAAGTAAGCAGCACCTTGTGCTTTGGGGAATCTCTACACCAATGCAGAACTTCTGCTTTTTTGCTTGTAGTCTCAGCCTGATTTAAATAGAAAAAAGAGAGATGAAAAAAAGG